ACAGACACAGCTAATCGCTTCAGAGGGGTTTGTTTGCTTCCAGCTGGATAAGCATGTATAAAGCCGTGGGGAAAAGCAGAGGCCACATCCAGTAGATTCCCACCTTACTGAGATTGGAGATCCACACTGCTGTCTCAGGATCAAGAAGCCCTACTTGGTAGGGATCCCACTTCTATCTCCACTGCACCTCTCTGGTCCATACTCCTCTGCCTAGACCGAGTGCAGGGAGCACATTTGTTATGGAGGATGAACTTACTGGATCGCAGCAAGAGCCCAGGTTAGAAATGCCAGCAGGTTTCCATTTGTGGCATCTTCTGCTTCTACTCTTACCTGGAGTCTGCTACTGCAATTGCTGCATACACAACTCCCTGGGACCAGCCACTGGAAAGATTGCACCTGGTTCACCTGGCTTTAACTTCTGGAACCAAAGAAGCCATTTGGTGCAGCAGCCATGGCCCTGTCTGGGGCAGGAACCTCTGCATACATCTTAAAGGCTCTATGGCAGGGGTGGACCACATCGGGGTTCCGAAACTGTATGGTGGGCCGGGAAGGGAAGACTGTGCCTCCCCAAACAGCCTGGCCCCTGCCCCCTATCCGCCCCCTCCCACTTCCTGCCCCCTGACTGCCCCCCTCAGAACTCCTGACCCATCCAACACCCCCGCTTCCTGTCCCCTCACCATGCCGCTCAGAGCATCAGGACCGGCAGCCGCGCTGCCTGGCAGGAGCTCGCAGCCCCGCCGCCCAGAGCACTGGCGGCACGGCGAGCTGAGGCTGCAGGGGAGAGGGGACAGCAGGGACGGGTCTGGGTCCCGTGGGCTGTAGTTTGCCCACCTCTGCTCTATGGCAATTCAAAGCTCAGCTCCCATCCAGTCTCAGTGTTGCAGACCAGTCCAAAGGGTATTAGGCACCCAAAACCAAAGTTGGATGCCTGATTCCCAGCCATAGGCTGCTTTTGATTGAGATGGAAGCAGAAAGGAGTTGCAAGAGAGGGGCTTTCCCATCGGTAGGTTTCCTTTCCAGATGTGTGAAGCCACAGAGAGAAAGGAGACGAGGGGAAGAAAAGAAAAAGGATTTATAGTTTTCTTCTATTTCCTTCTTGTCTCCAGGCTACGTCAACAGTTGCTCTCTGGCCCACTCCTTTAGTCCCTTTCTTCTGATTCAATCTCTCATCAGCCATGCTGCGACTCTACTGCTCTGCTTCCCTTTTCAGGATGTGCCATTTTACTCGGCAATCAACCCATTTGGTCTTCTGTAGCTAGGCTGCCCCCCTCACTCCTCTCTTCACTGTTTAACGCTGAATGGTTCGGTCTGGCTCTCAGCCTGAACATCTGCATACATGTCTGCTGGGCTACTTTCTATATGGCTATTTCAGTCATGTAGGGACCCCTCCGTATTTTAACAGCCATGTTTCCCAAATGCTTTTCCAATTACAAGGGTGCGCCTCTCTGTGTGAACATGTGTTGTGTTCTTGAGCATCTGCATGTGTGCATGGAGAGGTGTCCCTCTCTGGGAGGACACCAGGTACAACAGGGAGGTTCTGAACCCACACAAGTGACCTCAGCATTTCCCATTCTGGCCAAGATGCTGCAACAAACAAAAAAACCCACCACAACCCAACTGTTTTTTCTGCATCCGTTCCACAAATGGCCAGTCTCCTGCCACCTCCCAGCTCTGGCATGTCTGCCTGCCACTTGAACAGCTTTATGGTGTGGCTAGCTGGGATCATAAGGTGATTGGCACCTTTAAGCTATCTTTAAGGGGGAGGAATAGCTCAGTGGTTTGAGCATTGACTTGCTAAACCCAGGGTTGTAAGTTTAATACTTGAGGGGGCCATTTAGGGATCTGGGGCAAAAATCTGTCTGGGGGATTGGTCCTGCTTTGAGCAGGGGGTTGGACTAGATGACCTCCTGAGGTCCCTTCCAACCCTGATATTCTATGATCTGCCGCAAGAGAGATTAGGAGCAGGACGCATGCTGTAGCAGGAGGGACAAAAGGATGTTTTGGAGCAACAGTGTGGTGTCAGAAGGAGATGGCTGCAATCAGGAGCAACTAAAATGCTCAGGAGATATAACCCACTCTTACATGACTTAGGAACATCCTTTGAAGCCATCTTCCCCAGCCATACAGCTCCTACCTTGCACCAGAATGGAGCCCACTTTGCAGAGGCATAGAAGCCCTGGGTAGCATCTGCTGTCTCATGCTCGCTCCATGTCTTCTGTTGCTACCTATCCTTCTCCCTGCAGGTGTCACAAGGGACAGATCTACCATTACCCATTGGATTCCAAAGGGAGTTGGATCAGGCCCCAAATGATTGTGTAATTGATTAACAGTGCTGGAGGAAGCAGCAAAAGCCAGCAGAGCTCAGCCATAGGACACGATTGTATCACATAGAAAGGGGGCAGGGGGTGGGGAGCTTAGCCACCAGCTGACGGGGAAGAGAAAGGTTTGGATCTACCTATTGGGAGAGACAGGAACCAGCGGGAAATTCCTGACCCAGATCAGAACTTCCTCAGTGTTTGGGTGTGTTCAGCCCTGGGGTTACATGTCTAGTTAGAAATTGAGTTATTTTGAAATTCCCAAGCAGATCCATGCCAGATCTCGGGCTGAGAGTGTTAACAAGCTGATAATTTGAGCTGGTTAACATTTCCCCCCAAATTCATTGTTTTTGGACAAAAATTTAAGCTTTGAATTCCAATGACAAAAAAACAGGACTTCCTCCACGAGTTTCATGTCATTTTCTCGTTGAAGTTTCAACAAGATTCCAATAATCGGTTTGTTGATGAAAGTTTCGATGGCAGAGTAACAGCCTGGCTTTGAGCTAGTGACAGTGCCCCCTAGTGGTGCCAAATTGGATAAGGGACATAGCACCACTGCCCTCTAAAGGAGACCTAGAACGGCTGGGAGGGGAAGGTCCCTAATCTTCTCCTCCTGCCTGCAGCATTGCCCCAGTTGCTTCTTTCTGTTCCACACTTGCCAAGGCCCCTTGCAGTCTCTGAGCTGGTCATATTGCTTGTTGAACACCTGCTCGTACATGGCCCAGCCCTGCATTGACCTAGATAGTTTGCAGCAAATACTCATCTATCTTTGACATCTCCACCAGTGCTTGCCTTGCTTGACCTTTCTGTGATCCCTATTATACCACCCTGGGGCTGCTGCAAGAGAGTCACTCTGGCTTGAGAAGTTGAACTCTGGGGTATGGAGCCCAGGCGTGGACTCATCCTACAGCACGGTCAATCAGCAAGTGCCACTGTGGTCCTGCAGCACTGAGGTGCTCGGGCCCATTTACGCAGTGACTCTGAGCTGCTTTCAGACCTAGACAATGAAGCCACTTGCTCAGCATTGATCTTCTGAGAGCAAAACAGCGGCATTTTGGAACCGGGCCATGGAGTTTAATATAATTATGAAGCCAGTGGTGCAGCTTTCAGCCAACCTGGCTTGCAAATGGCTTTATCTCATCTGAGTGGGAAATATATAGTTTCTCTAAATGTCTCGGAGAAAGGTTTTATCTTTAATTGATGCTTGGCCATCAGCCACAAAACCACTGATCACTCAGGATTTGACACTGCTTTCTTTCCAGTGTTATGGAAGGCCTTTCCCAGTGATACATTCCCAGGGGCTGAAACCCTCTAGTTCTGTTTCTGATCATCACGTTTCACCATCATTCACAAAAACCAGCCCCCGCCTGTGTACATTCTCTCCAGAGTCATTCCCAACATGTGTTTCTTGTGAGCTTAAATTAATGTCCACAAGCTAATTGCAACAGTGACCTGGAACATTAGGCAGTGCAATCAGGGCCCCCATGTACACTGCCATTCCATGCCATTTGCTGCTCAATCCCCGTCCTGTGCTAGAGAACCTAAACTGTCATTTAAAACTAACAGGGGCTAGATCTTCCCCTGGTGCAAATCAGTGCAACTCCTTTGACTCAAGTGGAGCTACATCAGTTAACATCAGCTGAGGATCTGATTCTATATTTCTAGGCCTTATGACTGCAAAAAAAAATTGAAAATATGAACTTAATGTAAAACAATATAAGAACATAAGACCAGCCGTACTGGGTCAGACCAAAAGGTCCATCTAGTCCAGTATCCTGTCTACCGACAGTGGCCAATGCCAAGTGCCCCAGAAGGAGTGAACCTAACAGGTAATGATCAAGTGATCTCTCTCCTGCCATCCATCTCCACCCTCTGACAGAGGCTAGGGACACCATTCCTTACCCATCCTGGATAATAGCCATTAATGGACTTAACCTCCACGAATTTATCCAGTTCTCTTTTAAATGCTGTTATAGTCCTAGCCTTCACAACGTCCTCAAGCAAGGAGTTCCACAAGTTGACTGTGCGCTGTATGAAGAAGAACTTCCTTTTATTTGTTTTAAACCTGCTGCCCATTAATTTCATTTGGTGGTTCCTAGTTCTTGTATTATGGGAATAAGTAAATAACTTTTCCTTATCTACTTTCTCCACATCACTCGTGATATAGTGCTGTCTTCCTGAATCTGCAGGCAGCCTGACAACAGCTCAGTGAGATGTGAACAATTCCATTCCTTGCAAGAGGTTGTTAACTCTGAAACCTAAAGATGGCATTTAAAAGGTCAACATTACTATTTCCCTGCTAATCATCTTTACAGAAAGAGCCAGTATGTGTTCTTCTACAATCTTGTGCTGTCAAGTAGGGACATTCATATTAAAAACAAAGAACACATAAAACCAGGAATCATTTAAATGAAGCTGCCATGGAATTTCCAGTCTGCTGCACCGAGAGTACTGTGGAACCCAGGTGTCCTGAGGCAGAATCCAGTGACTCTGTCACAGAGTCCAGGGACCTGGACACAGAACGTGGGGGACCGTACTGTAGAATAGAGGCCCAGGGTGTTGCAGGGTTATACAGAGTCTTGGCTGCAGTTTATAGGTGCAGTGGGTTTGGCCGATAACCAGATGATTCAGCGAGCTTGCGCAAAGGAAATGCAGAGTCAGTGACACGTACAAGAACCAAATTTCAGCTCCCAGATCTCTTTATTAGAACTCTAGTACTGCTTGACAGGAAGAGGCGTGTGTACAGCATATAAGGTAATGGGATTAGTATTGCCTTGGTCACAGAGATATGTAACAGCATTAGAAAGAAGCTAGCCATATCAGGCCAGCCAGTCCACCTGGTCTCTGCTATTGCACGCAGTCATTGGCTACTCTAGTATTGCAACTTGGACTTCTTGGAGGCTTCTCCACCCCACCCCCATGCACCTCAGGACCCATTGTCCAATGGGTCCCAAACCAATCCCAGGAGCAGCCTCTTTTAGAGAAGGAATCTGTACATTGGAGGAGGCTGGAGCAAACGTCACAGAGTCTAAAAATAATAATTAAAAAAAATAGTCCACAGCTACCGCTCGGCGGATGGACACGGTGAGAGCACAGATGGTGCCTGCAACAGGGCGTCTGTGATGAGCAGCTGACGCCCAGCGATGGTCGTCTGCAGCGAGATCCGGGTGCCGTCTAAGTTACTACAGCAGAACGACAGCAATCACGCCGGCCAACGGGTCAGTCAACAAGTGACGGGGAGCGAGTAGGGTTCATTGGAACAGTCAGACAGCACGGGAGTCGTTAATGGCGTCGTCAGTGGGGGCAGGGCGGGGCGAGGACCGTGGTATACATCAGACAGACGGTCATACGACACATGCACAACAAGCAAGGTTACAGCACGGCGGGAGAATCCGGTCTCGTCCCCCTCTTCCCTCACCTGCCCTGGGTACATTTAGACCTGGCAAATGGTCTGAACAAATCCCAGCTTCCAAGGGAGTCAGAGGGGATTCGACAGTCCTGCAAAAACAAGGATTTTCAGAGTCTTTCACAGCAAAAAGATCTTTGCCCGTGCGGCTGAGAGCAGGCAAACATGGCCCCACTAACTCATCTTTTGTTCTCTCTGCCTGCCAGCGCATGACCAAAGCTTTAAGAGAAGGTGATGACCTCGGCTTGGGGATAATTAGAAGAGAGGACATCTTTGCAGCTCTCTGCGTTTAAAGGACACAGGCATTAAACACACCATGGTACGCTTTCTCCTCTCAGCACTTCCTGCTCAGGGACTTAAATAAAATAAATAATAAATAAATAGAGACAGAAGGAGATCCGTGTGCCGTGTGGATCCAGAGACAGGGATGCTTTGAAAGGATGATTCATTCAGCTTTCTAAAGCCTGGGTAACACTGAAGCCGCCCAGACAGAACATATGGTAGTTTGGGTGAGTCAGAGGGAGAAGGCTTAGGCTAAATGAAGGGCTGACATCACCCAGGATGGGCACCCCTGAGGCTGGGTACAGTACAATCACTCTGCAGTTAGAGTCCCTCCCCCTAGCTGAGGATCCCTGGGCACTGGATGAGCCTCACCCTGGCTGGGACTCAGAAGAGCAGTGGTTTTTAACCTTTTCATAGTATATCAGGGTTGGAAGAGACCTTAGGAGGTCATCTAGTCCAACCCCCTGCTTAAAGCAGGACCAATCCTCAACTAAATCATCCCAGCCAGGGCTTTGTCAAGCCTGACCTTAAAGCCCTTTAAGGATGGAGATTCCACCACCTCCCTAGGTAACCCATTCCAGTGCTTCACCACCCTCCTAGTGAAAAAGTTTTTCCTAATAGCCAACCTTGACCTCCCCAACTGCAACCTGAGACCATTACTCCTTGTTCTGTCATCTGGTACCACTGAGAACAGTCTAGATCAGGGGTCGGCAACCTATGGCACGTGTGCCAAAGACGGCACGCGAGCCGATTTTTAATGGCACGCTGCTGCCTGCCGGGGTCCCGCTCAGCCCGCTGCCGAACCCCGGCAACAGGCTGAGCTGGACCCCGGCAGGCAGCAGCGTGCCATTAAAAATCCTGCCCGACCCAACCCGCTCTACTCTGCCCCCCGCCTACCGCTCTCTCTGGCGGGGGCAGGGGGCAGAAGCAAGCTTGATCCTGCCAGCTGCTGCTGTAGGGCAGGCTCCGCCGGCAGCCAAGCTTCCCCCTCCCCCGCCTCTTCCCCCAGCGTGCTGCGTGGAGCCCCGCCTCCTCTCCCACCCTGCTGCCGATGGCCCTTGCGAGGGAGGGGAGAAGAGCAGCCCCAGCGCCCTCACTGCTCAGACCAGTAAGGAGGCGGAGAAGAGGCAAGGGGGTAGGAGCGGGGCGTATCCCTCCAGCCCCCTGCCATGAGCCACTCAGGGGGCAGGGAGCACCCCCCTGATCCCAGCCCACCCCCCCAGCCCTCTGCCCTGATCCCTGCACCCCCCTTGCACCCCAGCTCCCTGCATCCCCCCCATGACCCTATCCCTGACTCCTGCACCCTCCACACATACCCAGGCCCCCCACATCCCAGGCCCTGATTCTTGCACCCCCCACATCCCCACCCCCACCCTGAGCACCAGGGCAGCAGCAGGCTGAGCGGGGCCAGCGGCTGGGACCCCAGCTGGCAAGGGGCTGGCAGCCAGAACCCCAGACCGGCATCGGGCTGAGCGGGGCCAGCAGCTGGGACCCTGGCTGGCAGGAGCCAGTGGATGGAACCCCAGACGGGCAACAGGCTGAGCCGCTTGGCCCGCTGCTGGTCTGGGGTCCCGGCCCTGGCCCCGCTCAGCCCGCTGCCGGCCTAGCGGAACGGAACCCCAGGCTGGCAGCAGGCTGAGCAGGCCGGCGGCTTAAGATCAGCATTTTAATTTAATTTTAAATGAAGCTTCTTAAACATTTTGAAAACCTTGTTTACTTTACATACAACAGTAGTTTAGTTATATTATATATAGACTTATAGAAAGAGACCTTCTAAAAAATGTTAAAATGTATTACCAGCATGCAAAACCTTAAATTAAAGTGAATAAATGAAAACTTGGCACACCACTTCTGAAAGGTTGCCGACCCCTGGTCTAGATCCATCCTCTTTGGAACTCCCCCTTCAGTTAGTTGAAAGCAGCTATCAAATCCCCCCTCATTTTTCTCTTCTGCAGACTACAAATCCCAGTTCCCTCAGCCTCTCCTCATAAGTCATGTGCTCCAGTCCCCTAATCATTTTTGTTGCCCTCTGCTGGACTCTTCCCAATTTTTCCACATCCTTCTTGTAGTGTGGGGCCCAAAACTGGATGCAATACTCCAGATGAGGCCTCACCAATGCTGAATGGAGGGGGATTGATCATGTCCCTCAATCTGCTAGCAATGTTCCTACTTCTACAGTCCAAAATGCTGTTAGCCTTCTTGGCAACAAGGGCACACTGTTGACTCATATCCAGCTTCTCATTCACTATAACCCCTAGGTCCTTTTCTGCAGAACTGCTGCCTACCCACTCGGCCCCTAGTCTGTAGCAGTGCATGGGATTCTTCCTTCCTAAGGACTCTGCACTTGTCCTTGTTCAACCTCAGATTTCTTTTGGCCCAATCCTCCAATTTGGCTAGGTCCCTCTGTATCCTATCCCTACCCTCCAGCGTATCTACCACTCCTCCCAGTTTAGCGTCATCTGCAAACTTGCTGAGGGTCCAGTCCACACCATCCTCCAGATCATTAATGAAGATATTGAACAAAACTGGCCCCAGGACCAACCCCTGGCCACTCCGCTTGATACCGGCTGCCAACTAGACATGGAGCCATTGATCACTACCCGTTGAGCCCGATGATCTAGCCAGCTTTCTATCCACCTTATAGTCCATTCATCCAGCCCATACTTCTTTAGCTTGCTGGCAAGAATACTGTGACCCCCATATTGCTACAACTAGTTTGGGGACCTCAGTCCCAACTAGCCATGAAGAAAGAGGAGGTAGCTGATAGCCGTTTGCAGCCCCCAGGTTGCGATCCCATGCTACAGAGTACCATCACCCCTCACAGCGCTCCCTTAGGGCTGGCCACATGAGAACCCTTACCTTGGCTAAGAATGCCTGGGGCCAGATAGGGTACCACTCCAGCCATGAGCCTGCATGGACCCCAGGATTGTACATGTCCCTCTAGGGCTATGTTTCTACTGACAACTCCCTGCATCATCCCACTGCCTGGGCGCAGATCCCAGCTGCCCCTGAGTTCACATCAGGCTGAGTGGAGCTGGTAAATAGCTGGCAATCTCCTGGGGCCCTTATCTAGCTAGTTAGGTGCAGGGAGCCCATGTGAGATTTGAGAAAAGAAGTTGCTATTGATTGTAGTCAGGAAATGCAACAAGGGAACAGATCCTGCAGGAGACTAAAGCTATCAAGGCCCCTGCTTATATGATCCTAGTTAATAAACTGACCAAAATGACTAACAGCATAATGGGAGTACGATTCTTTTAGAAAAGAGCCTTCATCTTAATATAAAGCTTGCATATTTCCTTAACAGGATGTTTAAGAAACATAGTCCTTCCTAGGTCATCAATACAGCACACTCCAAAATCACTCCAGACCCCTCATTGCCACAGAATACACCTGACACTCCATGCATATTTGGGACCGGATGCTGAGGGAACCCACCATGGGACAGATTCTGTTCCCATCTATGCTGTTGTAAGCTAGAGTAACTCCACTGCAATGAGCAGAGCCACATTGACACTGGTGGAAATAAGATCAGAATCCAGCCCTGTGATCTTTGAGGCTTTTTTTCTCCTCAGCAGGGTAGTGTTATTGCCATGGAAAAGGTGGGATTATCCACAGACGGGCCAGATCCTGACAATAGAAGATTAGGATTGGAAGAGACCTCATGAGGTCATCTAGTCCAATCCCCTGCTCAAAGCAAGACCAACAGCAACTAAATCATCCCAGCCAGGGCTTTGTCAAGCCAGGCCTTAAAAACCTCTAAGGATGGAGATTCCACCACCTCCCTAGGTAACCCATTCCAGTGCTTCACCACCCTCCTAGTGAAATAGTGTTTCCTAATATCCAACCTAGACCTCCCTCACTGCAACTTGAGACCATTGCTCCTTGTTCTCTAATCTGCCACCATTGAGAACAGCCGAGCTCCATCCTCTTTGGAACCCCCCTTCAGGTAGTTGAAGGTTGCTATCAAATCCCCCCTCACTCTTCTCTTCTGCAGACTAAATAACCCCAGTTCCCTCAGCCTCTCCTCAGAAGTCATGTTCCCTAGACCCCTAATCATTTTCGTTGTCCTCTGCTGGACTCTCTCCAATTTGTCCACATCTCTTTTTGATCTCTTACACCGACGTAAATCCAAACTCAATGGACTTCCATGGAGTTATGCCAGATCAGACTTTGTCCTGAGAATTTGTCACTTTTCCCACTGCCTGATCTGCACAGCACAGGATGGTATATTCATTCAGATAGGGAGGGTGTTTTCATTGCATTAGTCTTCTACTACCCTGCTTTCTTCGGTACTTAAACACCAAAAGATTGACGCTCCAATTCAGCAGAGCTCAAGTGCAGGCTCACTTTTAAGCATGTAACTGTCCTATTGGAGTCATGGGTGTGACGAACTGGGACTGTTCCTACTGTGGTTTGTGAATGCTGACAGGGGAGTGTGACTAGGATAGTCTGCCCGAAGGCGAATACCTGAGAGTGTAACATGAGAACCCAGGAAGGGGTTGGAGGCCAGGTGACTCCTTGGCCCAGGAAACTGAACAAAGGCTGTGGGAGGGGTCGCTGAAGGCAGAGTCTGGTAAGCTGGGTGGTGAGATGGTGGGGAGGCAGAGATTGCTCTGACCTCCCAAGGGGGGCTGGGATGCCCTGGGACCCCAAGATGGACCTAACTGAGGGGGTCCCTGTTGTCTGTGCCTGCAAGACCTGTCATGGACTGTATTCCTGTCATCCAAATAAACCTTCTGCTTTACTGGCTGGCTGAGAGTCATGGTGAATCGCAGGAAGCCGGGGGTGCTGGGCCCTGAGTTCCCCAATA